TTGCTGTGCAAGCATCTGCATGGGCCCTGCTGGTCAAATGTGCGCACGGGCGCAGTGGTGAGAGGGGTGCTGCTGAGGCAGCGGGCGCACAACAGCCATAGCCGGGCAGCTGGGGCGCAGGGCTGGTGATGGTGATGGTGGTCTTCGGGAAGGAGGCACATGAAGAGGGGATCCATGGGGTGATGAGGGGAGGAGAGAGAACGTGCCTGGTGTATGCTGGTGGTCGGCATTGGTGTTGACAGCACGTACATTGNCATGAAGAGGGGATCCATGGGGTGATGAGGGGAGGAGAGAGAACGTGCCTGGTGTATGCTGGTGGTCGGCATTGGTGTTGACAGCACGTACATTGGTCTTCGGGAAGGAGGCGCATGAAGAGGGGATCCATGGGGTGATGAGGGGAGGAGAGAGAACGTACCTGGTGTATGCTGGTGGTCGGCATTGGTGTTGACGACAAGCACATTGGTCTTCGACTTCAAAGTGATCCAGTTGCAAGAACGTAGATAGGCGAGATAAGCCGAGTAGGATAGACTGGGCGCTGGGCGCCAGACAGTAAGTGCAACATTGGATACAGTGTTGGTGTGACCAGAGAGAGGCGACATTGACACCTGCATTCATTAAATTGCTCTTATTTGGATGGTATCTTGGTGCATTGCACTCTCTGCTTGGTTCATGACTATCTGAACTACTTCGTGATTTTGCAACTTGGATTTCTGTCTATTGCTCCTGCTCATATTCCTTGCAATGGGAGTGTTGTCTCCAAAAAAGAAAAAAAAGAAAAAGGAAAAAATCCAGCAGTGCCATTGAGACCTTCGACTGAATTCCCCGACATGTTTTCCCCTTCAGTGCACACTTTAGTACACCTGCAATGGTATGGAATAGAAGCACCAGTCACATGAGCAACATAGGCCGAAGAGGCAGGTCCATGTATGCTCCACGCAATGAGTATCAGAATGCAAGTCACGGTAAGCTCCACCTTAAACACGGCACAGAGGAAGAACAGCTCTCCTAGATAGTCAGGAGTATCAGGCGGCTGTGATAGGCTGAAGAGGCAGGACTTTCCCAGTGAAACGGTTTTCACCTTTTAGCAGTAGCGGATGCAGTACCCAGGGCTCGATCCCTAGACCTCACCTTACCCATGTACAGTATCTGTGTAGACCCCGGGAATTGAACCTGTGACCTGTGTATTCGTAGGCAGTTGGTAGACCTGTCGTAGGTCCATAGACAGCAGGGGTTCGATCTGTAGGTCTATAGCGTAGGAGTCTTAG